CTGTACACATGAACATGTCCACTGGCAGTGGGAGTGGTGCTTCCTCCATCCTGAGCCCTTCTCAAAGCATCTCCCTTACAGCTCTATGAAGTACAGAATTTGAAGTTAGTAGTAGGCAATGCTATCAAAAGTATTGCATTAAGATATATGAACATCCCTAACAAAGAGTTCTTTTTCACAACTTGAAACCAAGATTATTATTTTTTTAAAAAAACAAAACACTTTCTGGTTTGTTGTGCATAGTCATTTCATTTCTATTCTGCAAAATCCTTTTCTGCATGCAAGGTATCTCAAGTCAGTTTGTAGCCCTCTCTTTTCTGCAGTGCTGAACCTCCTCTGAGCAGAAACTGTATCTTCAGTGTTGAATTTTGCAATTGCTTTTCAAAGCATAAAAAACCTCTGCTGGAATGTGGGTTGTAATTTCAAGCTTCCAGGAGTTAGATAAGTCTACATCTGTTCTGTTTTGGCACTTTTACTCATAAACATATTGCCTATCCACAGAATTTTGTAGGTAAAGCAAAATGGTCTTTACAATTTATCAGCCTATGCACAAATCTGTTTATGTCCTACTGGAATTACACTTTGAAAAATTAGTGATTTTTATTGGTTGTTCTAAGGCCGTTACTTGTCACAAGGAGTGGAGTCGTGTAAGGCTTGGCTGCAGCATCTCAATATTACCTTTGCAAATTAGACATCAGCTTTTTTTTTTTTGGTGATAGATAACACTACTTTAAATTATCAGTAATTTATTCTGTAGTGTGTCAATGTTCTTTTATTTCACAAGAAATAGCTGTTACCCTCATATGAATCTTAAGTACAGGCCTGAAAGAATGGATGTGAAAGATTTCTGTGTCAAGTCCCCTGCTACTGCAAGAAATCTCAGCCTATTGTTTCACATTTCAGCTTGTGCAATGGTTGGGCTAGTCATCTCAAATCTGAAGTTTTATTTTGGTTTGGTCATTCCTTTATTCTTCTGCACTATTCAGAAATGACAAAGGCTGAATGTGATCCTGACAGTTGCCTGACTATAACACTCTGTGTTTCTGTGAATAATTAACTACTCTTAGTCAATCTGTTTCAGTCTGTTGGGGTTAAAACACCTCTTTTCAAGATAACTTGGCCTAGTATTGTATCAATGTGATGTAGCTCTGAATCCTAGGATGCAATTGTTACCCACCTCTGGGTGAAAGAGGACTCCTCTGCCTTCTTGTCTCCCAGCTTGCTTTCCCTCATTTCTCTTTGTAAAACCATAATTAAAATGTCTCCTCCATTCAGAAAATTATCTGATTATGTACTTTATTCATAGAAGAAGCTCCAAGAACCTGCAGTGTTGCATAGATAATGGGTTGTGACATCAGGCTGCAGTGATGTCACATTTCATGCTGTTGTTCTATTTGTTTCATTGGCTGAAAGTTTTAATTACAGGGTTTTTTTGCTGACGGGTGACATGTCAAGTTCTCAAAATGTCAGGTCAAAGGTTGTGGGGTAATGATTTATCTAAAAATAACTCCAAAAGTGTTATTTATACTTGAGAAAGTACTTGAGGTGTTGTTACTTGTGTTTTCTGGGGACTTCTTCCTGTCTTTTCTATTTGTTTATTGTTGTTTTGTTTTGAATGCAGCCTGATGATGAATATTTCATTTGGCATAAGAGGAGGTTATATTTTATACTGGCCATTACTTAACAATTAAAAAAAATTTCACCACAGTTCATGCACTATCCGTGGTGTTTTGGTTCTGTTCTACTTGTTACTTTCTTTTCCAGGTGGCATCTTATTTCTTTAAAGTTTAATGACATAAAAGAGCCTTCTGCTGAGCTCTACGGCTGCCTGGCAGGACCACCCCACCCTCCTTCTGGAAAGACTCAAGTGTCTTGCTGCCTGTGTAGGGCATCTGTATGCCAAGCCTTCCCTGGGGCTGTGGCAGCAGCAGCTCATCCCCTGCTGCTGCTGCTCTGCTGGGGCTGCTGTGTTACCCTGTCCTTTCTCCTTCTTCAAATGTCGAGTGTGATCTTGGCTGTTTTGTCGTGTTTTCCTTTCCCTCTGCCAAAAAGCAGAAAGAATAATATGGTAGGGGATGGTGGCTGCAGTGTGTTAAAGCAAAACAATGGACTAATGTACTTCTGGAGACAAGAGTGGCTGTGAGTGTGAGTGGAGCAGGGGCAGCAATGCCAGAGGACTCTGCTGCAGACAATGAGCGAGCTCTTTGTTTCTCAGGATCACTGTAGCTGCTGCAAACACAAATACTCGTTGCAGAAGAGATGGCAGCAGCCTTTTCAGCCTGCACAGAGCCAGCTGTATCTTCTCTAGGCAAATCTATGAAAAGTGTATGTGTGTATGTACTCATACAGTGACATAGTAGCGGATATAATCCCTTATTCCTGGGCACTTGAATGAGTGCTCAGGAGAAGAGTAAGTCTTCGGATCTTATGATGTGGGGAAGGAAACTCAGGGCTAATTAGCAACAGTCATTCTTAAGGAGACATTGTTTCAACCTCATTTTTTCGTTACTGTCTTTGAAACCATGGAGTTGCCTCCTCTACAGTGCTGTGAAAAGAGTGTTTCCTACCTCTCCTGAGCTCCTGAGGAGGGAACAGGGACTGCGGAACCATTGTGCACTTCCCACGCTCACACGTGTCCTTCAGGGAAGTACCATCTAGAATGAGACACTTTTATTTTAGTTTTCATCTCTTGACAATGGACATAGTTTTTGTTGACAGTTCTGTCAGCAGTCTGTAGTCCTGAGGTTGCATTATTCTGTTTTCTGAAGGCCTTCAGTACTTTGGGAACTAAGCTAAAAATATGCTTCATCATCAGAGGATGCATTTCATAGGCCTTGAGCTTCTTGAGAGTTCATGTATTTAATGGTATTTAATACATGAAGCAGAGCTAGAGATCTACAGATAAAAAGTGTGTTATGTTGTAGCCCATCTCCTGTGTTGGGCAGCTCCTGAAACAGGACCAGAAATTTTGTGTTTTATAATGGTATGGTCTGTTGGGTTTTCTTCCATGTGGGAGAGAACAGGAGGAATAAAAGAGATAGCACTGCCACTCCTGTGAGGAAACTGTTCTTTCGCTCACTGAGGGAAATGTTTGTGTGAGAGGAAAATTGCTATTGGTTGTCCCACTTAAGCCCAACACTTACCCTTTGGTTGGACTTGTCCCGTGTCCTTGTGCTGCTCACTTTGAACATGAGCCCCATGGCTCTCCCTCCTGCACGTCTGTCTGGTGCTGGTAGATTCTGGGAGGGGGAATGGGGAAGAAGTAAGAGTTTCTTCTTCCTTTCCCATCCTTTTATTGCTCCCACAAGCCATCCCAAGCACCACAGACCTTCCTCAGGAGCATACACAGCAGGCTTGATGGATGCTGTAACAAAAGGTCTCATCAGTGGGTGTTGTCTCTTTCCTGTGGCCACAACTGGTGCCTCTGGCAGTTCAGTCTATGAAACTGGAACAATACACAACCTGGTAGAAGCTGAGTAGTTAGGCTTCCTCACAACATTCCCACTGGGACTGACAGCTTGGTGCATGTGAATGTGTGAACCATGCTGCAGTCATTCACACCTTCTGCATGTGTTACATGGAAGTTGAGAATTAGGTTGCTTTCATCTTACTCTTAAATTTAAATCAGCACCCAGCTATTTCAAGTAATTTCCTTTGAGCAAAATGTGGAAAATCTGTTTCAGCCGAAGTCTTTCTTCAGTTACACAAATCCCACCTTGGCTCTCCTGGAGATGCGTGACATAACCAGTGGCTTCTTTAACCTGCATCTTTGTGCAGCAGGAAGTAGATGCTGGAGTTGTGCTTGTGTCTTGGGGCTGGGCAATGTTTTTGAGCATAGGTAACAGTTTGAGAGTAACAATGTGATCTGTAATTTAGCTTCATAGTTACAGCAGCAGCTTTGTTTTTTACCATCTCGGAAAAAGAACCTCAGGTCTCCTGGAGAACTGGTAGGATAAAGAAACCACAGATGGTTTTTCAATGTGTATTTCTTTGCTTCCCCTGCACAGTGTTTGCTGGTGGCCTCAGCAGGTGTTTGGGGGCTGTGCAGACTCTGTATGTGCTGCCTGAACATATGAGTGCCCAAAATTTAATTCACAGCTCTGGTGCTGTAGGGGCAGCCTGGTTGGAGCCTTGGCCACATGTTCTGTGTTCCAGCCCCAGCACTGAAAATCTTTGGGGTAAAACTGTGTTCCTGTTTTCTCCAATTTCCAATAGGTCAGATAGAGTTAAGATCAACTGGCTCATAGGAGCATTTTGAAATATCACTCATTTTAGCTTCTTCTGCTTTGAAAATATAATGTATAAGACATATATAGGCTTTATTTTTAAAGGTTCAGGCTATATAAATGCTGGTTTCTATCCTTGTTATTTTGTAGTGTTTATTAATCATACAGTTGGGGTTTATGGGTAGAGTCCTCTTTGAGATGAGAGAAAATTGTCTGAGTAGCAAATGATTACTTTTTTAAATGAGAAGACAGTGCTTCACAACAAAGGGATCATCTTCACTCCAGAGCTGCTATTTGTGTCCTGAACAGCCCTCCTTGAATTTTTCAGATTCAGAACAATTCTGGGAAAAGCTGGTGATTAGCTCAGAAGGACGAAAGGTTTCGGTTGCTGACTCTGCTGTTGATTTCTCTGTCTGTAAGATGACCTTAATGATCTTTACTAATGATCACTGATCATTTAGTGAAGCACTTTACCAGAGACTCTGGATAGAAGTAGCTGCAGATTCACGTAGTTAATAGTGGTAACAGGTACTTGACTGTAGCCAGGTTCTCTAGAGCAGCTCTACTGGCTGGCTGGACATCCTGACTGACCATCCTGGTCTCAGGCAGTCCATTCAGCCATACAGGCAGCTTGGTCACTAACAATCTTGTTTCTGCATTTCCATCACTGCTATATGGCTAACATTTATGGTGGAAGGGTTGTTGCCAAGTCAGGGACACAAAAAAGAAGTGTCCTTGAGAGAGCAGCTGGTAATTAATATCTTTGTGTTTCAGAGATGAACGAAATCAGTCCATCATTGTCAGTGGGGAATCAGGAGCTGGAAAGACCGTGTCAGCTAAGTATGCCATGAGGTACTTTGCCACAGTTAGTGGATCTGCCAGTGAAGCCAATGTTGAGGAGAAAGTCTTGGCCTCCAACCCCATCATGGAGGTAAGAGAGCTACTGCACTAACCCCACACTCCAGCTATCCAGCTATAGCTGTTATTCTGGGGCTAAAGCATCCAGTGGAGAGAGCAATCCATGCTTCCTTTAAGGATCAAAGAACCTAGAATAAATGTACTCTAAAATTTTAGTTTTAATCCATTTACCAGGAGGTGTTTTAGGCCTAATTTTGTGTAGTACCTGTGAAAGCCTGAGAGAAGACAGCAAGTAATGTTTTATTATTGTTCATTTATTTCACATAACAATGTAATTTTTATATGAATGTCACTTCAAAGCTGCTCAGCCTTGTAATGCCAGTAGTTTCCAGGCTACTGGCCAAGTGCAAGTGCAGAAGACTGTCTTTGTGTGTAAAAATCCAAAGAGCATTAAAACTTCTGATCTTACTCACCAAACATGTCCATCATACAGTGAGGGCAGGTAGGTTACACCTTGAAGTGACTTGCTGAGTAAAGCAAATGTTCAGTTTTAGGAAATGTGATTAGGGAAGATAGACTGAGACAGCAAAGTTACATGAGATGCACACGGCTTCTTTCAGAGGGGCAAAGCACAACAGAAGACATGATTTTGCTATAATTAGCTCATACTAATGTTTCAGTTCTGGAAATTTGTGTAACTAACAGTAGTCAATTCCCAAAGCCATTGGCTTAGAGGCATAGGTGCTGGCAGTTAGACTGTGAGAACAGTTCCCTCCTGCTTCAGGATCTCTGTTCTCCAGGAAGCTCAAGAGATGCTGTAATTCTGATGTTTTGCCCAAGCTGAAGACATTTCTTAGGCTCATCTGAATTGGTTTTTTGTGTCTTTGCCTTTGTGTAGATTCAAGTTATAGCTGAAGTTAAGGAACTATGTTAGGAAATTATTCACCAGAGAGGAACAGTATTGGGGGAGTTCCTTGGGGAAAAGCGGTGCTGCCGTAGGCACTCACAAGCACACAGCCTAAGAAAATGCTTAGGACAGCTTATGCCTTGGTGAATGTTTAGCATCTCTGTGCAATAGTATTAAGTATTAGTAGGTAGACATGAACAAATGGAGAGCACACAGTGAAATATGAAATACAAAGTGCTGCCATTGTTTTCTTTCTCAGGTATTTAAAAAAAATAACTGTTTTATTCCTTCTTTCCTCCTGGCGTGAGGAGTTCATGATAAGCTATAGCTGCCCCATCCCAGTTGTGTGTGTTCTGTCACAAGGTAATTGTGCCTGGTTTGTGGTGCTGTGTTCTGTTTTGAAACTGTTTTGTGGGATAAATCAAGCTGTGCTGGGCAGTGGGCTCTGCTGCTGGGGGATCCAAACATCCAACTCTGGGAGGAAGCCAGGGGAGCTTTGAGCTGCAGGGAGAGCAGCCCAGATGCTGGGGAGCAGTGGTGGTTTTGCAGGGGTGAGCTAATGGCAGAGTCCTCCTCTCACTGCTTCAGCCTTTGCAGTAAGTGCCCTTGGCCATGTGGAGCTGCACTGTGTGGCTCACAGGACCAGGGCTGCCAAAGGTCTCTTCTGCCTTCCCCTGCATCCCATGGAGGTGCTGCCTGGGGCCAGGGACAGCCAGGGGAAGGGGCTGCAGTTTGCTGTTTGTTTGCTGGGTGAGATACAAACCAACTACAGGTCTCCCTGGCCCACTTCTTGTGTTTGGTTTCAAAGCCTGAACCAGGCATCCTTCTCTCACACTTCTTGGACCCCATCTTCCATTCAGTGGCCATCAGCTCACCTCTAGTTGACTGATTTAATTTCCAAAGCAAAGAAGTTTAAATTGAGAACTAAAAATTAACTTTCCATCCATACCTTTTTTATCCACTAAAAAAACAAGGGTGGTGCTTGGTTTTGATTTTCTAGGGATAGTATCTGTGTATATCTAAAATTTCAATTATTTTAAACACTATTTTAATTGGATGAAAGTTACCCTTTCACTTCAAATGCTTGAACTTTAAATAAGCTTTAGAGTGTTGTGAAATTTGGTGTTGAGACAGACTCTAGGATAGCAGCATCAATGTTTCAAACTCCTCAGTTGATAAATCAGCAAAAACACAAATTAACCCATGTAGATTAGGAAGAAAATGAGTAATTAATTTTAGAAACAAGAAACACCTAATTTGCTGAGTTGATGATACAATTTTAGAAGCAGAAGGTAACTTTATTTTCTCCTTTCTATTTGGAAAACCTAAACTTGAGCATTTTATGAGCTACTGCCATTAGTGTCAGAATTTCATATAATCTTTGCCTGCTAAGTATTCTGTAATATCAAATGGCCACTATGCACTTCTAGCAACTATTTGAATAATGAATTTTGTAGTCAATAATTATGTACAGTTTTCCTATTGCAAATGTAGACATTGTCAAGTCTTCAAACACATCTTTATATGTAATTTCCTGCCTCTAAGTCTTGGTTACCCTGTATAGCTATGTGAGTTGTAGAGCTCAGTGTGTTCTCTGGTAAGGAATCTTAGAATAGCAAAGTCTTTCTTTAGGGTACATAATACCTTTCAAAGTAATAATTTGTTTCTGAAAATATTGCAATATTCCATTGCTACCAACAACAAAATATATCACAGCAGCAGTAATTTTGAAACATACGAAATGCAGTTTGACTGTGTTCAGTCTTAATTAATTCAGTATTTCTCAGAACTGCAGAGGTGGGATTTGTTCTTACACCCATTACAGGAGCTGTTCCTCTCATGCCCACAGTGACACCTGCTTGGTGGGAGGTGCTGATGCTGGCGGGGGCTTTCTGAAAGCCTGACCCTGCTGACCTACTGGCCTTTTGTTCACAGACTTGGAAGACCAGTGCTCAGCATTGCTGTTTGGTCTCATTTGTTTTTCCCAAGCCATATTTCAGCACAGAGTTCCTGTGGACGGCTGTGTGAAGGAGGAAGCTAGGACATAGGTACAGCTTTGTGCTCTTTAGCTAGGGTGCACTGCCCAGTACCAGTTAGGTACTTGCTAACATATTCTGTGGTGTGGGACAAAAGGGAGTCCACTGTATCCAAATTGCTCTGAATGCCATTCCTTCTAATACAGAGGTATCTTTAGGATTTTTTTGGAAGGTAAGTTGCTCAGTGATTGCTAAAACTTTGTCTAACTGGGAAGGGAAAATGCTTTTCTTTGAAGTTCAGCATGTTGTGATTTGCATGCCTCTAAGTTCTGTATTTCCAGCTGGTGCCCATCGTGTGGTGAATCCTAACACTGGTGAGTAGGCAGAGGTGCTCCAAGACCACTGAGGAACCCACAACTGTCACTTGCCCTGGGCATCCCAAGACCACGTTCTATGGAGGAAATATGTTAGATACTGTTTATTGTGTCTGAATTGATCTAAGAAAGTTAGGCACGTGGGGCAGTGTTAGAGGCTCTAAGTCAGTAACCAAGCTGCTATGGAAGAGCTTCAGTTTCAGGCAATAAAGTCAGTCTCTAATGTTTAGATTATATTTAGGCACACAGTAAATATTTTATAATGGTAGATTTGCACCAGTAGTTTGGAATTATGCTTGATTATAGAGTAATAATAATAAGCTGTTAGCCAAATAGAATGTAGGGGCTGTTTGTTGGACTATGCTTTCATGATAGGCAGACTAACAGAGGTTGCAAGTGCTGTGCATGCACCTGTACACACACAAACATGAATATATACAGTGTGAAATAATCATTACGGTTTTATTAAATCCTTAGAAAAAATCTGGGTATATGTGAGCATTCTGCTAATAGGCTTTGATTCCTTTAAAAATACTTCAGAGAGCAATAAGGTATTTTTAGCTGGAAAATTGGACTATATGGAAGTGACAAAATTCCTGGGAAGATCAGCTCCAAATCTTGCATCAATGAAAAAACCATATTTTGATGTAACTTGCTGACCAGGCAGAGATTGTTCTTTATTAAATTCTTGATTATTTTGAAACCAGGACAAAATTAATGTGGTTTGCTAATTTTTAAAACCTGTTTAACCTTCACAGTATTCCTTTTTTTTTTTTTTAAGTCTATTGGAAATGCCAAAACTACAAGGAATGACAACAGCAGTCGCTTCGGAAAATACATTGAAATTGGTTTTGATAAGAGGTATCGAATCATTGGTGCAAACATGAGAACTTACCTCTTGGAAAAATCAAGAGTGGTGTTTCAGGTAATACCAGTGCAGTCTTCTGATTGTATCTTTGTGTGACTATGCTAAAAACAAAAAGTTATTGCTTGCTGATATTGTGTATCTCTCCTAAGAGGTGGCTCTTATAGTGTATTTGCCATGTAGGATGTGAGAGGACAGGGGAGAGAAGGAAAACAAGGTCAGCCCTTCATTCTATGAATTATTCATAGTTGTAAAATGTCTATTAAAGAGGCTGTATATTAAAACATGAAATACCTTCCAAGCACTACTATATGTGGGTTCATGCTTACCATAGTACATAAACTAGGGCTTCAAAACCTGGTAGAGAAGCCACTCGTGCTCAGGAAGAGCTCCCTGCTGTGGTGTGTAGAGCTGCCCTCTTTTGAAACCCGTTGCTATTGCAGTAATTATGAATGAGTCTTAATTGCCTTTATCTGGGCAAATAAGAATGTAATTTCATCCTTCTTGAACTCTCTTCATTTGGTGTTTCATACTTGAACCAATCCACCACCTCTTTGTCTCCCACACTTCCTCTCCATCTCTGCTTACCCTGTAGTCTAGAGCTCAGTAAAAATGGACTTATTCTTGACTGGCTGTCTCAAGGTATAGAGAAAAGAATTACAGTTTGCATTGTGTAGGAGTGTTACATGAAGTACTGCTGTATATTTTTAAAATAAGAGATACTTTGTGCATGTGGTTTAAATGAGAGGCTTTTTATGTGTTGGTTTTTTTGTTGTTTTGAAGTTATTAAATTTGGAGCACATAAGTTAACAATTATGGTGTTGGTCATGAGTCATAACCTTCTAAGCTGTGTTAGTCCTTCATCTAAAAATTCCAGCTTGCCTTGGCAAGGAAGATACTCTCTTTACCAGCTTACTACAAATGCTGAGGCAAATGGTATTAGTTATTTTTGGAAAATGAAAAGCTTTTAAGGATGATCATTTCACCCACCCATAGAATCCTGATCTATATTTAATAGTAATCCACAGTTCTGAAAAGTGAAATCATACCCTTTTTTTTTTTAAATGAAAATGTCTACGTATTTATTCCTGTTGAAAATGGATTAAATTAATCAAGAAGAAAATGATAGATGATGATTTACCTCTCCCTTTTCCATGCAGCTTCTGTGTTCTTAATGCAATGCTAGAGAAAGCATTAAACGTAGTTGTTCTCTTCTACTCATGGATGTTCCTGGCTCTTGTTAAGTTGTGAAAAATAATTGATTCCTTTCTTTTTAAAGGCAGAAGAGGAGAGAAATTACCACATCTTTTACCAACTTTGTGCCTCTGCAGCATTACCTGAGTTTAAAACTCTACGGTTAGGTATGAAATTCACTTTCATTCTGTTGTGCAACTGTAGGTACAAAGCAGCAACTCTGAGCTTTTTGAGCCATAAAACCAAAAGAAGAATTGTTGGCATTTAAATTCTAAACTTTTAAGCCTTCAAATACTAAAATATACTGAAAATAACTAAAATTACAGATTTCATGCTTTGTGGTTTTTTAGATAAAGTGAAAGTAACAAATTTGTTTATTCAGTACACTCACTCTAATATATTCACTGCAGTAGTGGTCACAAGGACTTATCCTGGGTTCCAGTTGCAAGGGTGAATTATCTTCTCTTGGTGCTTTTAAAACCATTTTTCTGTGGCTCCAGCTACTAGAGAATGTTACCATTTTTGGTATAAATACCTGAAAAGCTTATTCTGCATCTGTATAATGCCCTATCCACCTGGGCTGTGACCAGCAATTACTTCACCATCTTCTAACTGGGAAGAACTGCAGTGGGAAAACTGCACAGCCCATAAGTGCTGATCTCTGAAATACTGTTCTGGATTTAAAGTGTTTCTCTGCTCTTCTGCACCATCCTGGCACATTTAGGATTCACATCTGCTGACACAGGAAAGAAAGGAACTGATGTAATTATAAGTAAAGAAGCCATTTAGCATACTCCTCTTTCAGCATTCTTGAAACTTTAGTAGATCAGAAGAAAAGGAGTCTGTTACTGCAGCTGGAAGCCTGACCACTGAAACTGTAGACATGCACCCAGTGCCCAGGAGAGCTGGTGCTCTCCCAGTAAAGCCCAGGGCTGTCCCCAGAGTGATTTGAAGCTACCAGTTCTTCATGACTTCCCAGCCACAATGGACCACAGGTACTTATCAGACTAAACCAGACCATCAATTAGAAATGAGAAGACAATGGGCAAAATGGAATTTTTTTAATATCCTGGTGCAATAATAGCCTAACAAGCCTGCCACGTAATCCCAAAGTGCTGCTGCTGTCAACTCTGCACCTACCCCTTGTGTGGTTGGCTCAGACTTAGAGAACAATTGCTTCCAAAATGATTATTTCACAGGTGTGGAAACAGGGTTAGGTAGAGAATGTGCTTGAGGGCCTATTGTAGGAACCAGGCTGCTTCAGACTACTTACTTGCACTGTTATATCTTAAAAAAATTCCTCTCCAGAATAAGTGGGTTCTGTGAACCAAGAGACAAAAATACACTGACATATATCAAATCATAGATTCTGCCAAGAGCAACCCATTCCACAGCTTTACAGATCCACTGTGGATTTCTGCATCAGGGTGTGTAAAAGATTTGGGTTTTTTTCTCTTACAGGGGATGCAAATTACTTTCACTACACGAAGCAAGGTGGAAGCCCTGTGATTGATGGTGTTGATGATGCCAAGGAAATGGTAAACACCAGGCAGGCCTGCACTTTGCTAGGTAATTTATTAAAAAAAATAAAATCATATCCCAAAAGATATATTGGCAAGCACTTCCTGTATTGTTGGTGTGTATTTTCTTCATGGCCTGTTTTGTGTCAAAACAGGAGTTTGATAAACTTGGGGATTGAGATACTTTTTATTGCATTATAGCTTATACGGTGTTGGAGATCACTGGGAAAGCACTTCAAAACAACAAATTAAGTAGTTCATTTTAGTGGATCTTATTTTGTATCTGGTTGTAAAATGCTTTTTAATACAAGTGGAGCCAAGCAGTGCTTTCAAATAGCAAATTCTCTGGGGAAAAGAGCATGCACTGGTGGCAGTTTTTATCTGCTTAATTTTTCTTTTTATTTTATAAGCTTCAGCTTGTGGTTCTTTACTTCTCTCTCTCTCTCTCTCTCTCTCTCTCTCTCTCTCCATTCAAAACATTTTATTCATCATTTTTCAGGGATTAGTGACTCCTACCAGATGGGAATTTTTCGGATCCTTGCTGGCATCCTTCACTTGGGCAACGTGGAGTTTGCGTCTCGGGATTCTGACAGCTGCGTCATTCCTGTGAGTAGCAGATGAGCTGAGGGGCAGGGTTTTTACTCTTTTTACAGGGTCTTTTACCTCTTCTGAAAAAGAGTTACGATATAAAAACATAAGCCATGTGTTAATTTCTAATTCGTTGAGATTTTTGCAGTTCTTTTTGCAGGTGGGTTCAATTCTTCTCTGTTCAGAGCCTTCAGACAGTACAGTGGCTGCCTTCATTTGATTTCTAAACAGTAATTGATCTGTCTTAGAAAAGTCTGCTAGACAGGCTACCATTGAAGTCCTGGGCAGATGTCTAGATTTTTATAGTTGTTTATGAATACATTTCCTACCCACACTAAAGGCTTTGCAGGAAGTTTTCATTGATGTTAAATGCCAAACTGACCAAAACAATTGCAAAACAAGTACTTTGCAAAGTCCTCTGGGATGTCTGGACAGGAGCACAGGATATACAGATACAATTCATGGCTTGTCTCAGTGTCATGGCTTGATCAGTCCTTTTTGACATCTGTGGAGGCGAGTGGTAAGGGCTGCAGTCTGATCTGAAAAATCCCTCCTCATTCAGTGAGGACCAAGGCTTCTTATTAAAATCCATATTCTGGAGATGAGAAACCAAAGAAGTGTGGCTTGTCACTCTACTCTTCCTTTGATTGACAAGTGACCAGTCTCTGCTTTTGCCTTTCCTTGGATGTCTTACTGCTGAATTACACAGCCTTCATCTTTCTCTTTAAGCAGTAGCAACAGTTGCATGATTATTTTTTTCCCCTCATTTTACTATTGGTTTCTTTCTCAAGAATCTGCAGTAGCAGTTTCTGGAGCTGAGACAACAGGTCCTTCATCAGGCTGCACATGATCAGTGGTGCCTGGCCTGACACCATCTGTCTGTGGGATCTAATAGATAGCTGCTGTGAAACCACAGCAACAGCCTGGCTCCTTGGTGTGTCTTAG